AGTGCTAAAGACGTGAAAAATTAGCAATATTCTCGCCGAGACCCGAGCCTTGAACCTCTCTCGAATACACGTGTAGTATGCTTCCAGTTACACCACGAAGGAATGCGGAAAGAAGGGAGAAAATATACAGTCATTCAATTATGAAGTGGTTTAATACGGATAAAAGTGTCGCAGAAATTCGCTGCTAATATAAGCCATATTTTCTTTTTGCTCCAATAGTATTTATTTTGTACGCCGTTGTTAATAAGCCATAATCATGTTCGATTTCTTTCGCTGTGCCAATCCAATAATTTCAATTATAAGATTCCGATTTTTCAACTGTAAACCACGTTTAAACTTCACGAGCTTTACGCTTTTATAAGCAGTTTTCTTGCTAGGATACTTATTCGGCAGGAAAGTCACATTACATGTTACATTCAATAACAATTCCTGTATCCTCCTGCATGAAGACGTTTACAAAACCATCTTTCTGCTAATAGCTATTTTCTAGATATCATCTCTATAGAAATAATCAGTATAATAATAGGAATATTATCTTAGAAGCAGCTTTATCGCTGTGCGAATTTGTGCAAATATTTTAATTTTTTATTCAGATTTTATGAATACTAGACATTTTCCCTACGAATGTTGAATGTTATCCGCGGATTTTAGATGTTTTGTGTTACTTTTTTAAATTTTCATTTTAACTATTCACTTATTTTTCCTTTTTAATAAGCTTTAATAATATTTTTCTCTAGAAGTTACGCGGAAAATGCTCTGTATGTTAATCCCATTCCAAAATAGAGACCAAAATTTCCCACTTTAAACTTTTACCTCTCAGTTTCCCTACACACATTGAATACTAGAAAACACGTTTTTAAAATTTATATAAAATAAGCTTCAGTTTCCTTTCAATACAGAAAAATAGTTTCGATGATAAAAATTTTTCTTCACTAAATTTAAAATCCAGCCACTCAATGAAAAAATGTCTATGTGCGCAATGTGATACCATATCTACATCGTTCCTTTTAATGGAAATATTGATCTCATATACTGCAGTTTATTATATCACCTGAAAACGACTGATTAAAAAGCTCAAAACATAACAAGTACTTAACTAACACGTTCTAGCTTTTTATGCTTGCTACACAGAATTTAGCTTTTATTTTTTGAAAAGATTTTAGCCAATTTGTTTTCAGAAAATAATATTTTCGACGATGAAATAATTTGCAACATCATTAGTGAAAATTCTAGTTTCTTAAAGATACGCAAAGTCTGATGGTTTATACCTCGACCACCTTACGAATTTTGCGCTTTTTTATATTATCCAAATAATTATTAGCAAAGAATTTGTATAAGTATTTTCTTTAAAAAATAATTTTTTATTAGGTAGTTTTGAAATTCTTCAATGGCAGAAGAACGTACGTTCAAATAAGACGACCATAATGTAGCTTAATGTAAGTTTAATAAGATAAATAAATATACTCTCTTTTCCCAGGTTCTTATTGCTATTATAAGGCATTTTTTCTCTACTTTCCACATGCTTTCTTAACGCTGGAAGCAGTCTTGACGCGTATTCGGGAGGTCCGGTGTTCGAATCCAGACGAGGGCACTATCCATTTTTTATGTTTCTGCATCAAAGCAGCCTAATGACTATACACTGTAATTTTCTGAAGTATTAAAATGATTTAAGAGCATAAAAGCTAATACGCGCGCATGCCATAAACAAACAGCAATGACAGCTAACATTTCGCTGCCAACAAATACATATACACTGCGGGAAAAAGAAGTGGGACAGTTCTATATCTCCCGTTCTAATGGGCCGATTGACAAAATTCAAATTACATTTTGCATGTCTCGAAAGCGTGAGTTAGGCTATATATTATATATATTACATTGTTCTAACATAAGTATTTGGACACAAAATCGGACTTTTTCTGAACTAACATACCAATTGTTTCCCACATTCTACGAATCAAATTATGCCTAGATATTAAATGTTGTAATTTTTGGAGAAATTTAAAAATTTATCTTGGCGCATTTTTTTTAGTTTGCGCCAAGAATAATTCACTTGACGAATTCCTTAATTTGTAGCAACCTATTTTCCTTTCCTTTTTTTTTTCTTTGTACAAGATCGGGAAAATGGTCATCGTTCGTACTTTGAAATAATTTTGACAGAGTGGTAAATCCCATTTGGCATTATTATTGTTTATAACAAATATGCCAAATTTTAAAACGCACCAATATGTAAATTCACATATTTCTTAGAGGAAAGTTTTAATAAGGAGCTTTAATTTTTTGCATGTATGCTTAGAAATACATCTAGTTTAAGACGATGGTAAAAATTTTATAATCCAACTTTTTTAGGAAAATTTATAAAATATTTAAAAATACAAATTTTAAATATAATCATAAAAAATGAGCGAAATATATTTGGAATAAGCCTAAATTTCGAATTCTGGAATAAGGAAGGAAGTAAGTTTAATAATAATAATAAATATTTTATAATAAATATATATCCAATTCATTTAACATTGGGGAGATAAAATTTAGGGAACTAATTTTTCAAAAACTGCTTATGCGATTTTTACAAAACGTGGGAGTTTGGCATAATTTGATTAGTAGAATAGAAATATGGAACACAATTGGTATGTTATTTCAGAAAAGTCCGATTTTGTGTCAAAATACCTGTATTAGAAAAATGTTATATATAAATCTAATACATATCCTAAGTCGCGCTTTTGTGACATGAAAAATGCAATTTAATTTCATCAATAGGCCCAGTAGAACGGGAGATATAGAACTGTCTCTTTTTTTGCGCAGTGCTTTTAGTTGAGTGTCAGCTATTTTAATTTTTTCAATCAAGTTTTAAATTTCCTAATCCCTCACTTCTTGGCTTCTATGAAAGCAATTCCCTTCCATTCAGAAGTTTATGCAGATTTCTACTGTGCATGAATGAGATTATATATCATGGGATTTTAATTGCAACTTACATCAATGAATCATCAAATGTTGCTGACTGTTAGCTGAAGTGTTCGTTGCTAATGAAAAGCTACGTAAATTATCACCGGAATAGAACTTGCAATCCTTGCTGAGGTAGATCAGTCTCACTCTTTTGCGAACTATGAACAACAGTTGATGCACTATGAAGTTGTTATAAGGACAGAAACATTTCAATGCTGCTTTGCATATTTTAAATTCTGTGTTTTAATAGTCTTTAAATAAGGGAGATATAATTTAAATCAATGTTTGTTTTTATTTGTTTCCTTCGTATATTTTTGTGTATTGGCTTTAAATCTAATTTGTAATACTGTTTATTTATTTCTATTTTTTTAGCCCCAAACCAGCTATTAGTCCCGAAATAGAATTTTGCGTTGGATTACTACAAATAGCATATGACTCTTCAAATTATTGCACTAAATATTATCGCCCTATATTATTTTTAAACAAATTAAATAATGAAGAATCTTCATGTTTATATGCATGTTCTTGGTATTGTGAAAGAAGCCGTTTCTTGAGCATTCTTGAGTATTATATATGAAATTTGAATATTGTATCCTCCATCTGAATATGTGTACTTAGAAGCCCGAATTTGGAATTTTTAGTTTGTTTTATTATTTTTCATATTTTGTAAAATTTTAATGACTTTTGACTGAAAAACTCAATTGTTTTAAAGCGAGAAGTGGGAACACAATTTGAAATAAAACATTTTTATCTCCAGTGCGCAAGACTACTGACATTGGGAAAGTTTTAAGATATTTATCTTTCAGTTTTAATTAACAAAGTCGGTTCTATGAAAACAATATTTTGCTGAGGCAGTAAATAATATGCATTCATCTTCCACGCGCCAGCGTGTTGCCATTTAGTAAAGCCTAAGATACGCTTAGATTAAATATGGAAAGTTAGTAAGTAATAAACAATGCGATTTAAAAGCAATAAAAACAGTTTTTAAGAATATTTTTTTTCTACTTTCCAATGTGATTAATTTAAGTAAACATGTATTAAAATCATGAGATATCTTATTAGAAATATTCAGTATTTTTATGAAGTAACAGTAACTCATTAAAATCATAATACATTTTTTTTCTTTCTTTATGATAACTATTTTAGGAGGCAGACCGGTCGAATAGCTAGTTTTCTAAGAAATAATATAGCGGATATTAATATGTATGGCAATCTTTAACACTATCGAGAATATGCTGTTTTTAAATATTTCGTAATTTTTCTTTTGAATTGAATTTTATGTTGCGTTAAGAATGATTCTTACGCAGAACGAAGTGATGCTTGACGAATAAAGTTAACACATAAAAATTAATAATAGAAAGACACAAAAGGTTTTTTCTTAGCCCTCTAACTAGGAAAATTGAATATACTACAAAAAGATAAATATATTACAAAGTGATAAAAGAAGGAAAATATATAGAAATGTATGCGAACACTTAATTCTGCATCAGCAATTCTAAATACATGCTGCGGTGCACCTTTCAAAATGTGATTTTCTTGTTGAGCTGTTCGTGGCGTAAATGCGAAGAAAACTATGCTTAATAATAAAGTTAAAAAGATAAAAAAAAGTGGTAAGCAGGAATAAATGCAAGAGAAAACTGGTAGACTGCGAGCTCAGAGAGAGAGCGTAAAAAACCTTAACAAGTCCTTCTGGGCAACCGTTAAAATCTTAAACCTTTTAAATTTTATCAGTTTTATTTGGATCACTTAGGCCTTTTTGTATTCACCTTCCAAGAGCTATATTTCTCAAAGCTGTTGTAAAGTTTTAAGGTTCGCCTTTAATCTGATCTCATAGTTAAAAGCCTGTTATCATTTCGTAACACTAACCGGCATTAAATCCGTAACACTAACGGGCACTAAAAGAGGAAAACTGTGGTTTGCTTTAGGTAAATTTATGAACTTTTAAGTTCAATTTTCCTGAGGTTATCCTTAACAAAATCATAGTAGTGCATTTCAAAGAACCATTCCTTAATTAAATATGAATAAATTGTTTGCAAATAACATTACAATGAGCAAGAGATTTTTCTTTATCAAATAAAATGACTATTGAAAAATTAATTATCAGAACTAAACAATAATATTACAATTGCATTTTTTCTTTCATAATTGATATTTCATTGTCATAAAAATAATAATTCCGTGACATTCTTGTTTTTAACTCTAGAATGAAGAGCAGAGGTTCATCTAAAGTAAATCCAATGTTGTTGCATTTCTTACTGCTGGAACCATCGTCTCATTTTTAACTTGTAAGTGTTTAGCCATGTTTATAAGAATATTCCATTCCTCTGTTCTAGCAGTTGCCATTACACATGCTTTAAACTGGCAATTTTCAAAGCAGTTTTGCCTGAAAAAAAAAGGTGGAATTTATCAGAACTGAAATATTCAAACTGGAATTAAGACACAATAACACGCCGAACAAATACTAATTCAGAAGTCAAACAACAAAGTTCTAGTTAACGATCCTAATTCCAATCGATCTTTGTCTTCGGCCCTTAAAGAAATTATGTTTCAGTTCTGGTTTCATCAACAGATGGCGCCACTTGCTTATTCTTGTACAGGCTTTCTTATCTTATCTAATCATTATTTCCTATCTTGTTTCTTTGCGGTTTTGCAGCTGAGGATAATGGATCGGTAAAACCATCGAAACTAGTCCTGTGAAAACTTTGAAAATATAACGCTGATTTTTGTTGTTTGGTTGTTTGACTTCTGAATTAGTATTCAAACTGGAGTTTATTAAATATACAAAATCATAATGTTGTTTGAAAAATGAAAACACTTTTTTAGAATTATTTTGGTATAAGTTAACGTAGATTTATTTATCCTTCTATTGTGACCGTATAACAATAAATGTATTATAATCGAATATACATTACACGGTATGTTTCCTCCATATTAAACAGTTAAGAAACTAAAGCTATTTTATTCTTCATTTCCGTGTGCTTTCGTGGGGTAATTGGAAGCATATCCGGCTGACAGTCGGGATGTCGTAGTCTCGAATCTCGACGAGGGTCCTGCTTTTTGTATCTCTTACTTCGAAAAGCTTATTAGACTCTACAAGTGATGCTTGATTACGTGGTGGAGAATATAAGGAATTTTCTCCTTCCTTTTCGCAAACTTTTGTGTTCATTTTTAGTTTCTAAAGGAGATAGACACGCTTCTAGTCGCTTTCTAAACCAATTACGTTTCAAAATCTAACCCGCCTAACTTTACATTCGTAAAATTCGCTGTCATGTTAAGTATTTGCATTTTCGAACGCTACAGTTCCCTTATTACGAATAAGATTTTAGGGTTTTACTATATCTATGTTGTTGCAAAATCTTGCAGGTCTTGCTATATTGGCATCGAGTTATCGCTTCATCTGAAACAAATCACAGGGTCTAAGGAAGGATAAAACAATCTTTTTAACTTTTTTTATACAAAGTAAGTATTATAATCTCGAAAAAATTCGGGTATCATGCATATTTCAACGGAAATATTCATTATGACAATTCCCGAATCCATCTGAACTTTTTTTTTTTTGCGTGACTTCTGTAAGCAAACACAGGATAAGGAACTCTTTTTTTCTAAATCGAATTATAAAATGGATTCAAAAGGAATTTTCTCGTGACTTCTGTAAGTACGTTTTTCACATAAATCAAAAATCTTCGAAAATTTTTATATGAGTCTGTTATAACATCGAGTTGTGCATCTGCCTTTTTTACAGGAATTATATATATATATATACATATTTACTATCCCCATTACCTAGCTTAAAATTCCTCACCCGGCCTTTATTTTCGCAACCATTGTCGTAGTCATATACTTCTTCTTATAGATGTGTTTTAAATGACGAAAATGTTCAAGTTTTGGCAATTTCAGATTTGAAAAATTAATTTTCAACAAATAAGGAAATCTAACTTTTAATGCAGTCGCTCAGTTCTTATATTTTGGAAAGCTTATACACGTCATGAAAAATTAAAATTATAAAAAGTTTGACTTCCTTACGGCAAAAATTGACCGGGATATTTAATTTTAAAATTTGCAGCTTTTGATGTTATTTTCAACTTGCCTTGAGAGATCAGTTAATTCAATTAGAATAATTCGAGAAAATACGATTAAAGGAAGTACAGCAAAAATGTGTATAAGGCGATACAAGGAGGTCGTATAGCGTCGACATAAAATTTTTAAATCTTAAATGAACAGAAACACACAGCTTGGGTGAAAGATGAAGCTACTTCTGGATATTTAAATTAACCATAGGTACAAGTAGAGGTAAAAGTATGCGAACACCAGCGATGTACCATGGGTCAAATGGTAGTGCTTTTCCTTACTAATTCTTAAAAAAAGAAAAGAAAAGAAAAAGAAAACAAAATGCAAGCTTTATAAGAATTTACAGAGAAAGGTTGAGGAAATGAGTATATGAAGCTTTCCAAATGATCTACAGTTTACCTATTATGGTACATCGTATAATTATAGCGTACGTCTCGCATCCAGTATTTATTAAAAATAATGATTTAGAAAGTAAAGAGATTACAACATAGTCTCAATACAATTTGAAATTCACATATCAAATTGAACATCTGTTTCGATGTAATAAAAATAACAGATAAACATAATTAGGCTAATCTTTGGAATATGGTAACAGGTAGTTTGGCGATATTTTGGTAAGGCGATAAAGGTTACTAGGTAGGACTTTAGCGATAATCTGAGAAGTACACAGTTCGAATCACAGATTATTTTGTCTGAGAGAAATGAGAGATCATGAGACATGTCATGTGACATTTTCCGGAAAATTCCGATCGTGATTTTAGCTAATAAGCACTTAGAAACAATTTCGGTGCTAAAGTGCAGAATCGTCCACTTATTTGTTTGGCGCTTTTTACAAGAGTAAGAAGAATTGGATTTTTGTCAGTTTCCTTTGACTTTTCAAGTGAAAATAGCTCGATGTGTACATGAATAAAATCAAGAGTGTACGCAATGCCATTTTTTGTGCAATTCTGGGATTTTTTTTAAGTGAAAATAGGTCGACGTGTACATGGATACCGCGTATGTGCAATTCTTAAAAACGCGCGAAGCAGTGAGCGATTCTGCACTTTCTCCCAATTTCGCACCTAATCTAAGCACTTTTGTTCCATAAAAATTCTAGTATAAGCGTAATTCGGCTAGCAGATTATTGGAAAAAATATCGAGTATTAAAAAAAAAAAAAAAAAAAAAAAAAAAAAAAAAAAAAAACTAGCAGGTTGCTGTAGCAGGGTTGGTCGCCAAATTTTCGCCATGTTACCATAATCCGAAGATTCATCCATAATTAGTATACAGATGAGATAACTATAATAAGTACCGGGAACACAATGTTATAATGAACTGTAATAATAATATTAAAGAGGTAGGTGTCCATGTGCTTATTTCGGTTATAAAAGGTTATTACAGTTTACAAAGTTCACAAGTGGAGTCATTTCGAACGTATTCACAGGATATAAAGATCAATAAATTTATGCAATGGAAGAACTTGCACTTGACAAAGATTAGGCCGTAAGAAGAGAGTCTAAGAGACGGTGAAATTTCAAATGCGGTAGTCTGAGACTACGCATAAAATAGGCTACTCAAGCTTGCTCAGATATTTAACGGCGCGTATTTTAAGATATCGGCTAGCAACACGTTAAAGCCAGAATACAACTTAGGTAGAGTGATGGAGATAGTAAGTAACAGTTAAACGCGGATACCAGAAGCTATGATCTAAACACTCAAACCTCCAAGGTTATATGCACAAAACAATTAATTTGCGTTCTGGTGAGGGCTACGGAAAGTAGAAGTTATAGTAAATCGTAATAATTGTTTAATTAACATAAAATACATTACGATATACTAAAATTGTTCCTACAGCGCATATACAGCTATTTTTAACAGAGTTTTGCCAAGACTGAAATGCTCAGATGTATTCGAAGGATACATTTTCTAAACAGGAAATAAAAATAAGCTTCTGTCAATCTCAGTGTACGAGTGTCATATATTCTAATTATACAGAGTGTCCAGGAAAGGAGTCCCTAATTTCCCAATTAAAAATATCGAAAAGAAAGATTGATAGGAATACAACGAGCGGTATATTTATTGTGAAAGCTGTAAGATTGTTATGCAAAAATTTTGAAATAATAGTTACGAAAGTTGGCGCTGTACGCTGTATGACTTGTATCAAACATGCACAAATAAACTCGTCCTATCACATCGCAGTCTATTCATTCAGATGGAAGTGTACTTCATCCGTCAACCAGATATGGCCAGCATGAAATCCTTTATTATCAATCATTGTGGGAATTTGATTCCCAAAGACAGCCTTCGTCGCACAGCTAATACAGTATGGCCTGGTGACTTTGATTTTGAATAGAAACATGTCTAAGCTATTTCTCGATATTTTCTGCTTACTGAAACGCTTCAAACTGCTCTCTACTCGAATTGTTCGGTCAGATTTCCTTGGAATTTGCTAAATAATTTCAGAAACAGTGGCGAAATTTTCAGGAGTAACTATAGTTTGCCTGTGACCAACATTCCCTACCGGATCATCGGTCACGCTGCCTGTCTTAACAAAGAGTTTGCAAATGGTTTACACATCGGGGACTTTGGGAACATTAAATATGTGCGAAAACTTCACCTTGTTGCTGTAGGACTGTGTTCCAAGCTATGGTATTTCAGAAACACAGGTTGTTCAATGGAACACGGGATTACAACCTCTTTCTTGAATACACTAACCTCCTTTCACGTTCTAAAGACGGAAGGGATAACTTTTGGTCTTTCGGAAAGCTATTTATATGCGCTACATATTGAGATTACATATTGAGATTACTGTTTGCAGCTTTAGTAACTACTGTATGGAAACTTCTGCGTAACATTCTTACAGCTTTTACAATAAATATATCGCTTGTGGTACACATTTATCTATCTATGCTTTCAAGATTTCTAATTCTGAAATCAAGAACTCCTTTGCTGGACACCCTATATGTTATTTCGCTTTCTAATTGGTCTTATATTGTAGAACATAATTTTTTATACAAAATCGCAATGAGTCAAATAAAAAGCGTATTCTTTCATCTTCAAATCGTCTATTAAACTGTTTTATCTTACTTGCAATCTACGAGGATCTGTTGGTTTTGATATAGGTTGTAACACTCGTTGCACAGTCGGTCTAGCCGGAACAGGTAATCCACTATAATGTAACCCTTGCAGCCATACCGCAAATATTCGAGGAAAGATATTGGAAAAGCATTTAGGTCAACCATCCTCATCATAAGGGTCATTAATCCAAGAATGTGGACCTGGAAAAGTACTTTTCATTAATATATGATTTCATGAGCAGAAAGGAATGACATGAAAGTTGAAAATATGATAGGATTGTTTTTCGATATTAGTCAAAGAAATTTGCTAAGTCAATTTCATATATTCCTTAGGTTAACTTGTAATGTTGCCGCTTCCAACCAGCACGCAACAATAGTGGTGACTGCTAAGAACTGAAAAGTAGACCAAAGTCTTGAGAAGGGTTTAAATCCTTTTTATTCAACTTAGAAATTACAAATGCGTGCTCTTGACGCTCACAAACTAAGCCGACCCGGCGGTAAAATAAAAATAAGAAACTAAGAAAAGAATAGTAACAAGTGACTAACTACGAGGATCTCTAAACGTAACTAACCTCACCGCGTTCTAAGATACCGCTGATAATTCAGTAAACTTCTAAATATTACGTTGAAAGATTAACAAATTGCCGAGGCAAGCACAAAGGCCGAAACGCGTGGTTCTTCAATTTCTAACTAGCCACCTCCACGCTCGTGAAGCAAGAAAGCACACTTTCGAACTCGTTTCCCTTCTATTTAACTCAGAATACTTCCGCTGACAATTTGAATCCTTGCGCGTTCTACTAAAATTTACATACTCTGGCATTGGCAATTCCAGGGGAAAGTAAGGCTTGACAGGAAAGATAGTTTAAACTTAAAATAAATGTTAGTTAAAATAAATATAAACCCTACATTTGCCGCTGCCAGAATTTGGAAAACTTGGAAGCAGGTCCTAGAAACGACCTGTTGAAAGTTTCCACAATTCTGAACTAAATTTTAAGAGCCTCGTTTACAAAACAAAAAAAAAAAAAAAAAAATCTTTTATCTCACAAAAGGTAGAAAATTTCTGTAGATACTTATTTTTAATTCTCTCTTCTTACAGCAACCTTTCCTGGACTTCAGCAATCAATCTGTTCTCTTCCTTCCAGCATCTGGAAGGAATAAGTATCAGTATCTTTCTAAATACATTATAATTTACACTTTCTTGACACTGAATAAGTTTTTTGTTTTTGAACGATTTATTTTCCTTAGTTACTGCTTAATTCACATTCATTCAAGTATTCAAACATGAATTTAACTTTACCCTGGCTCTCCACCATGTGTGTGGTGTCAAACGGGAATATTCGTGTTTTAGTATTGCAACACTTCCCCTAACCACAATGATTTGTTAGAATTCAACGACCAAATAGACACACCTTACTCGACATTCTACAACTCGATGAGCTACTTTAACATTCTTAAAATTCAAGTGTAGGTGGAGAACCCTACAAAACACATTCATTCTAACTTCCCCCTCATTCATCTTTAGACATGCAGGCTTTCGCTCTAAAGCATGATTTTATCTACAGTTTAATACTTAAATTTTGAATTCATTGCTTTTGAGCATTTACTTTTAGCATCTAAAATTTTATTGCTTCTAGACTAAATTCTACTTTTACATAACTTTCAAGTATTTACGTATATTTACAAAATTCTAATACATATGATTTTTACAATTTACCATAAAATGAATAAGAGAAAAATAAATTTTTACTTTACTCATTCTTCGCCAAGCTGGCGGCACTGAAACTAAGTTCTTATTAATACAAGAATACGAAGTTATTTTTATCTTCGGCCAAATTTTGGCTTTAACATAACAGAATTAGTCTTTCGACCAACAGAAACTGCTTGTTCTTAGATTTTATACTTAAAGAAAATAATACTTTTGCCTTAGCTAAATAAAGTAAAACAAAACTAAGTCTCAACCGAGACACATTGACTTCCGTCAAAACATAGAACTTCGTATTTACGCATAACATTTCGGAACAAAAGAAAAAAAAAATTTATAGAAGATTTTAACTTATCTTTGAGTTTTCGATGATTGGAACTCCGTAATTCTCTTCTGGCAGAACTGCTCCCACGTTACAGGTTTCATAGACGTCAGTCTTCTCCTTAGTGCCCTCCGAGTGTCATCCACGTTGCTTTTTTCTTTTTCGCCCTCTGCATGCTGGCCTCTTGGAGTGGTAGTCGTCGGGTTGCTGTCTTTTTTTCCGTTTTCCCCTGGACGGCTGGTCTTGGCGTCCTCCGGTCTGGAATCCTTCTTGAATTTCTTCTGTTGGTGGTGGTCTTTTTTTCGTTCCTCCTGCTGTCTTTTCTTTCTCGGGAACGGCGGCCTTGTTTGCACTGCACCTGACTCTCTGGCCCTGGGAAGCGTTCTCCTCGATGTAGAATTTCTACTGCGATACGTTGTAAGTGGTGTTTTCCTCTTTACCAAGGTTTCTTTACGCGGCGGCTTTACTTTCTTGTATTTCTTAAATGCTGGAGTCTGAAAGTTTTCATTTTTTCTTTTCGGTACCGTCGCATGGGTTGTAGAAGGGCTAGGTTTCTCTTCAGTTCTCTGCTTCTTGGGTGGTGGAACGGGTGACGTTGTTTACTTCTGGACCTTCTACTTCTTTTTACGCTTGAGTCCTGCAAGAAACTTTTAAGGATTTCAAAATCATTTTGATTATAATATTTTTTCACCTGGTCGGGACTTGCTTTACAGATTTCCCCTCTCTCGTTCTTAAGGTACAATACGACTCCCTTGATTTCCTGAATTACATAGGGGCCTTCAAATTTTGGAGCTAACTTTGCAGTAAAATTGTCTGGGGCACTTGATAAAGAAAATTTCCGCTTCAACACTTTATCCCCAACTTTAAAATCTGCTTCACGGCGTTTTCTATCATAATATAACTTTTGTCTATTTCTTGCCGTATCCGAGCTTTTAACCGCCTGGTCAATAAGTGTTTGCACATCTTTCTGTTTAAATTCTTGCTCTCTTTGTTGCACAAAGAATAATTTATCTAATGGCGTAATTAACTTTCGCCCTAAAAATAATTCTGCTGGGTTTTTCCCGTAGTATCGTGATTTGCCGTTCTTAAAGCATAAGCTAACACATTTATGTAGCCATCCCAGCGCTTGTGATGTGTGCTAACATAACTTCGAATTATTTTTACAATGTTTTTTATTAACTCTTTCTGCTATGTTTGCCTGTGGTCTATACGGAACCATTTTGATATGGCGGTATGCCAAGTCCAGTGCATATGTTTTCAAATATTTGACTAACGAATTGTTTACCGTTATCGCTAATGACTTTTATCGGTGCACCGTATTTTAAAATGTATCTGTGTAAGAATGCATCTGCGACTGTTTTGGCTGACGCGCGTTTAAGTGGAACAATTTCTGTCCATTTTGAAAAATGATCTACAATTACTAAAAGAAAACGATTTTTATTTAACTCACTCTGGGGGAAAGGACCAAGAAGATCTATGCCTAAAATTTCATTCGGAAATGTAGCGCGAATGCTATTTAAGTACCCGGCCGGGCTGTAATTAATATCATTTATTAACTGACATTGATTGCAGGACCTGACATACGCAGTTACTATTTTGTATAATTGCGGGAAATATACCGCCTCGCGTACCCTTTTTAAAGTCTTTCTGACCCTAAATGACCCGCTGTTTTCGCGTCGTGTAATTCCTTCAAAATGCTTAATCGAAGCGAGGCTGGGATGACTGGTTTGTACTCGAGATTTTCGTTTGTTGTTTTCGTATAAAATAATAAATTATCTATTATTTCATAGTTTTCTGCTCTATTTCTTATCGCATCGATATCTGTGTGCTCAAAGCTTTCGGGGTCTTTCAAATATGCATAGATACTTCCAAATTCTGGATCAGCTTTCAATTCAGCAATAATTGTATCTCTAGAATCTAAAATTTTTGAAGTCAGCATTTAAGTTCGCATTTAAGTTCACTGCTTTCATCGTTCACTTTTATACGAGAAAGTGCGTCAGCTACATTGTTTTCCTTACCCGGTTTTATATTTGATTATTAGATTATATTCTTGGAGTTTTTAAAGCCCATCTTATTAACCTGGGCGTTAGGTTTTTCCCCGAGTAAAGTCTACCAACAGCCGCATGATCCGAAAAGACTGTTACTGGCGCTTTGCCGAAATAAACTCGAAATTTGTGTACAGCCATTAATACGGCTAATGTTTCTCTCTTCTGTAGCTGTATAATTCCTTTGTGTATGATTCAACGTTTTACTAAAAAATGCCAAAGGATGGCCATTTTGCATAAGAACCGCACCCACAGCATAGTCCGACGCATCTGCTGCAATTTCCAGGTTTTCGTCCCCCTCCGGGAATTTCAAAACAGGGGCATTGATAAGCGCTTCTTTTAACCTTTCAAAAGCGGTATTTGCTTCCGCTGTCCACGTGAATTTACTTTTCTTTCTTTTAATTACTACAAGGGTTCAACAATATTAGCAAAATCTTTTATGAATGACCGATAATAAGAACATAACCCAAGGAAAGAAGAAAGTTTCTTGGCGGTGTTGGGAGGTGGGAAATTCTTGATTGCTTTTATTTTTGAATCTTGAGTTTCTATACCCTTTTGCGAAATTTTATAACCCAGATATTTAAGTTCTTTAGTTGCGAACTTGCATTTTGAGGCGTTAATTGTAAGACCGGCCTCTTTTAATAATTTAAAAACTTCTTCTAGATCTTTAATATGTTGTTCCAACGTACTACTCGTTATAATTATATCATCTAGATAGATTAAAGTCGATTTTCCTAGGACAGGCTTTAGAACAATGTCCATAGCTCTCTGGAATGTTGATGGGGCCCCACACAACCCAAAGGGCATGCGTAAAAATGCATAAGTGCCCGATTTTGTTATAAACGCGGTTTTATGTATGTCTTCGGGTCTCATAGCTATTTGATAGTAGCCAGACGTTAAGTCCAAAGTAGTCATGTATCTTGTAGATTTAATCTTTCTAATAATTTCCTCTATAACCGGCAAAGGGTAAACTGGGAATTTAGTAATACTATTAAGTTTTCTGTAATCGATAGCAAACCTCCAAGCCCTTTTATCCGAAGGAGGAAACTCGTTCTTTTTCCTACATAGTACGACTGGACTCGCGTACTCACTATTTATGGGCGTTATTATTTTTCTTCTTTAACATTTCCTG